AGGTGTGTCCGTAGGCGACACTGTGAATGGGTCGCGAGGAACCAGAAGGGGCAGAGGGATCAGGGTCTGGGGCAGTGCAGCGAACGGGCAGCACAGAGCTGGTGGGGCAGGGATCGGGGGGAGTAGGGTGTGGGGTGTAAGGGCGGCGCAGAGCCAAAGGGTCGCATGGAAGAGGGAGAGCAGGGTGTCCGGGGTGCAGGGGAGGCATGGGGAACGGGTGGTGCGGGGCTCTGCTGTGCGCCACAGCCAGCTCCCAGGGACACACGGCCAGAGCCGAGCTGCTGTGGCCCTTTAAAATCAGTGGGGCCAGGTCATGCCAGTATCCTGGCGCCCCGCCCCCTCGCACTGGAGCTGCACGCAGGTAGCCTGGTGGGAAGAATCTCCGCACTTCCCCCTTCCCAGCGGCGCTGTGCTCCTCCACTGGCCGGCGGATCAGATGGAGCCGCGCCGCCCGTAGTGTGGGCTTCGGCCAGCCCGTCTCAACAGCTCACCGGGCCAGTCTGCCCCTGCACTCGCCAGCTGAAAAAATCTACTCGCCACGGGTGAGCGGGCGAGTACATTTGTCGAGCCCTAGTTATTAAGTTTTGCCGTACATTACAGAAAGTGAGGAAAACATTCTTTCTCTGCAGTTTTGAAAGCACTTTCTGATCCTTGTGCACAGAACATGCTACACAGATATCAACTCATTCCATGTGTAGTGCTTCAGTAGGAAAATTCTGCTGGGATGTAGTGTCTTGGGTTTCAGTGGAGTCCACAAGTAGTAAAATGGCACGCCAGCAGCACCAAGAGAGTGACTCAAAGCAAATCACATTCTAGTTGTTTCCTCTAGAACACTCCAGAGTTTTCTGTGCAGCCTGGTGTCACTACTGCAAACAGAAAGATCTCCTTCCTCTGTGCTGCTGGAATTCCCTTGAGGACCATACTCAAGGGATTTAAACTCCACACTCTCCTTTCCACGGCTATCCTGGATGACAGTGGCAGGGGCTGGTGAGCCAGAGCCATGCTCGAAACTAACCCATTAAACAGGATTTTACATCCCTAACTGGTTATAAACTTTACATTTAACTGGTTAATCCTTAAATCGGTAGGGGGGTTCCAGTCTCCCTGCCCAAGCTGGGATGGAAAAACCTCCTCCCATGGGGGGGGGGCCCCTTCAGGCTGGAGCAGCTCCCTGCCGGTTAACTATTCACATCCCTGCTGGAAATCTGCTCAGTTCACCTCAGTGTGGTACCTGATTTTAATTGCTATAGCAATGGAGAGTCCTGATGATCACCTGAGCCTCCCATCAAAATGAGAGTCAAACTCGTGCTGCTGGTGCAACAGTCAAAGGTGACTAAAACACATTCCCCTCCAAAAGGCTACATGCACTGTGTGGTCCTTCCTTAGTTTTACTTTGAAGACACAGAGGACTAAGCATACTCCTGTCCTTCATAAAATCCTTCTAATCCAGATACTATACCTATAACTCAGGCCACATCTTCACTTTCCGAGAAAATCGATGCTGCGGCAGTCGATCTTCTGGAGTACGATTTAGAGGGTCTAAGTAAAGAGCCGCTAAAATCAAATGCTGAAGGCGCTCCTGTTGACGCCAGTACTCCTCAATTCGATTCATGAGGAGTAAGGGAAGTCTCCCGCTGTGGAGACAGCGCGGGAGGTCAAATTAAGGTACGTTGACTCCAGCTACACAGTTAACGTAGCTGGAGTTGCAAATATTAATTTGACCTTCCAAGTGGTAAGTATAGACAAGGCCTCAGTGAACACACACACAGGATACCAAACTCCTGGAGGGTCACTTCTCTTTACACCTACTGCACTCTGTGCCCGACTCGACTAGATCCCTTGGTACAGTTAATAAGCCCCAATCAGGGCTTAAGGAAATGTGGGGACCAGAACAAAACTCTCCTCTGCCCCAAACTTCACCCTTTCTCCCAAGCTCTCAGCCTGGCTTCTTCTGCCCCTGCTCTGTCCTGCCCTACCCCCATTCCACTCCTCCTCCTAACCCTCTGCCTCCTCCTCTCCCAAGGAATGCCAGGAACCAGCGAGGTGGGGCATACCGGGGAGGGTAGTACTGCTGACAGTCCCCACGCTGCCCAGGCCCCACTGCCCCCCTGAAGCACAGGACCCTCCCCAAAGCAAAAGGTCCAGGTCAACCACCCTGAACAGTCCTATGGACAGGATGGCTATGGCCCCATTTATCGAGATGCACTTGCATATATTTAAGCATGTGAGTAGCCCCAACTGAAGTCAATGCACTGACTATTACTCACATCTTTATGCATCTTGTTGAATTGGGGCTTATTATCGATTAACTAGCCCCTGCAATCACCTTCACCCTCCAGTAAGACATCTGGTGCCCAGTACGAGCCAGCTATGGATGACTAGGGAGAGGCTAGGAGTTTTTGTTCAAAAGCTGTCAATAGATGGAACAGGTTTTCTCATTGCTCTTACCACTGCCTTCACCATTGTATTTTAGGCAGTTCCTGAACATGGTCTTCATGTCACCCACAAACTCCTCCTTGGTGCAGTACTGACCTCCATTCAGCTTCTTCTCCATGCTAGAGATGTCCATGGGGGCCTGAAACACATCAAGATCTCCCTTCAATGACAATGAACATAAGCGAGGCCCAGAAGGTGATGCTATTAGCTGCCTACAGAGCATGGGTGGGAAAAAATGGCCTCCATGGGTCGGACCTGGCCCGTCAAGTGAATTGAACCAGCCCGCAGAGGCCCTGATGCTGCACCCCACCCCCAGGCCAATCAGGGCCTGGGGGTGGGGGAGAAGCATGTGAAGTCTCCTCCCACCCTGCAAGGGGCTCAGCATTTCAAGTCAACCACCAGCTGCTGCTTAGCTGGTGGCTGACTAAGCGCAGCACTTTCTTGCAGTGCTTCCCCTCCCCAAGCCCTGGCTGACCTGAGGGCAGCAGGGGGGTGCACGCTAAGTCTCCTCCCACTATCAGGGGCACAGGTACCTGGAAGGAACTGCCAGCTGTTCAGTTCTCTCTGGAGCGGGGCAAAGACCAATCAGGGTCTGAGGGTGGGGAAGCAGAGAAGTGTCTGGCCCCGCCCCTTCCATCTGAGTCCACGCCCATACTGGTGCAGCCCGGGGCCACTTCAGAAAGTCCCCGGTCAAAAATGATTACCCACCCCTGCTACAGAAGCTAGAAGGGATGGTTGTGGACATTTAGTCTGACCTCCTGCATAACACATGCCAAAGAACTACAAAGACCTGACTAAACGTATAGCTTTCTACCCACCTGAAGAGTCAAATGCAAGACGAGGGGGCAGGCTGGACCATGTTGCCTACCTTAATGATCTGATAGTAGTTTGGGGCATATGATTCATCAACCGGTTCCAAGAAGGGCCAAGAGTCCTTGTGAGCCTTTACCACATCTAGAACTGGCCGCAACAAAAGGAAGACAAACTGTTAGTGCGCCCTAGCGGACATTTACTTATCTTTATCTCCTGCCAAGAGACAGACAAGAGTAGGAGACTGACCTTTGTACATGGCGGTGAACTCATCATCCAGTTCATAGCTGCAAATGGGAAGAGCAATGGTGAATATATACGCTCTTGTCTTCGTCGTTCCTCCACCCCATGCCTGGTGCAGCCCCCAGTAAAGTTCTGCAGCAGAACCCACACACGCAGCCTCACTAGGCACTCTCATTCAAGCAGATACCATTTTGCATACACCACACTCTGTGCCCCTCAGACATTCCTCCCTCCTCAATCCCTTTCCTCTCTCTCCCTATTACCCCTCTTTATTTACTTTTACCAATGGCTATATTCCTCCTACCCCCTATCCTGAAAGCCTACAAATGCACGTGCATCCTGTGCACACTGCTATGTACTCACAGATCCTTGGTTTTCCTTTCCTCTCTGGTAGGAGAACTGGGATCCAAATGGGAAAGTTCTGGGGGAAGCTCCTTCCCCTGGGCCAGAAGCCAAGCCCGTTCTTCCCGGAGTTTCCGCCTCCTGGCTCGTTCTGCCATGGACAGAAAGAAACCTGCTTGACCCTCTTACCTCTTTATCAGGAACACCATGCACAAAAACAAAGGAGGCTGCTCAGCAGCCAGTTTCAGGAGGCTGTTGGGTCTGACAGCCAAGGGCTGTACCCAGTAAATGCTGTCACCCCTCCAGAAAGGGCAGTGTAACCCACACACCTAGTGTGGTTCACTGTCCCATGTAGTGGCACTTAGACCACTTACAGTGAGAGATAAGAACAAAGGAGCTCTCGAGCCAGCTGGCTTTGAGCTCCTACACTAAGATCCAGAAATCCCAGGTTTGAATCCACCCCGTGGCGGTTACAGCAGCAGCAGGGAAACAGAGAAGACAAGAGCTCCACACTTGCCTTTCCACCCTAACACAAGTTGTTTTGCAGTGTTACTGTTGCTATCCTGTTTCCAGACAGACAAATTCTCACTTAACTTACCAGTCTGGGACTTTTTGAGTAGCTCAGAGAGACTGCAGACATTATAATGGCCTATGAGGACCAGCTGTATTGCTGAGGTTTAAGAGGTTTGTAGCAGGGATGGCAGGAAGGACTTGAAGGCTGCCCCTGGTCTGCAATCAGACATTGGTTACCCAGGTGTTTTGTTTCAGACTGGGAAGTGCACTGGTTTGGTGTAAGCTTAGTTAACACCCAGAGAAGGGTAGAAGAAGACAAGATTCTGATGTATTTGCCTCCTATAGCCTCTGTACCTCAGGCCTGTTCCCTGTGACAGCATCTCTCAGCCAAGGGTACTCCTGGGGGTACGCTGAGGCCTTCCCGGGGGTAGTCAACTCATCTAGATCAGTGTTTCTCAACCTGGGGGTTGTGATCCCCAGAGGGGTCATGGGACAGCTTTAGGAGTGTGGCAAGCAGGGCAACTGCCCAGACCCCAGGCCACAGTGGGCCCCACAAAGCTAAGTTGCATGCTTCAACCCCACTGCCTGGGGCTTGGGCTTCCGACAAGGCTCACAAGAGAAAAACAGATTCAAGCATGACACTGAAAAGGAGAAAATAAGCCATTTTCCAGCAACTGTGCATGCTGGGCTACTTTTCTATTTTTACGTTTGATTCTGTAAGCATGTTTTTAAGGAAGGTGAAACTTGGGAGTGCACAAGACAAATCAGATCCCAGAAAGGGATACAAGCACAACGCCCTTGGGACCTGACTGGTGCCAAACCAGAGAATTTGCTCTACTGCGGGAGGTCAATATTGTCTAGCAGCATTACCAACACTGCCACTGTTTACTGGGCTCTTAGAACACATTTATGTACATAAAGATACACAGGACACACTGAGAGCCAGGACTGGTGGCTGTAGACAAATTTTATAGGACCGTGGGAAACTTGGCAACACCCACGATCAGTGGACATCCAGCTAACTAAAATCATGCTGAACCATAGATGTTGCCGGAACAGAGAGTTTCAACCTGTAGCCTGGCAAGATTGAGAACCACTGCCTTATGAGAGGGCAGCCTTCACACCTCTTTTCCAATTGTTCTTAGAGGGCCAAAGAGACAGGGAGTGAAGATAGTAAAAGATGAGCAGGGTTCCAGAAGTGCCAAACACTAAAGCAAATCTACTGCTACATTAGAGTTTGTCAACAATTGAGGGAGATAAAGAGAAAAAAAACCCCTGAGAATGAATGTCTCTGAACAACCTCCCTGCCACTGACACCATGGGCACCATTCCTGTCTCCAAAGGTATGAGGAAAAACCTCCAAAAGGGATGGTGCCAGGCTGTCCCACTTGTAGCGTTTTGGTCTACGTGCTTCAGGCAGAATGGAACGAATGCAGCAGGGAGGCAGTGAAAACCCAACTGGGCAGGTTGTGAACCTCACAAGCACCGAGAGGGGAGACAGAAGACAACCAGAGAACTGCATGTGGAGCATAACAGTAGGGAGGAAGAATTATGGGAGGTGATGAAGCCAGAGTGGTAGGAGGAAGACACAGTTGGAGGGGGTACAAGAGGACAAGGAGAGAGAAGGGCAAGGAAAAGGGAATACAGGTGGGGCCAAATAAGCAGAGGCCAGAGAATGACAAACCCACTTCTGAGGTAACACAATCACTGTTTCCATCTTGCAAGTATGTGAAGGAATCTGTGGTGGGGGAGGAGCACCAAAGATCTCTCTCAAATAAAGTTTAACAACCCATCGGGGCCCTTTCAGTGTCCCCACCTCCATGTCACACAAAATGACAGGTACCTTCTACTGCTTTGACCTTCTCCTCCATCTCCCTCTTCCTCTCCTCCTTTAGCAGCTGTTCCTGCTCCTTCTTCTGCACTGCCAGGAGGATTTGGCGCTCTTCCTCTTCCTCTCTGCGCCTTTGCTTCTCCATCCTGCTGAGTACACTTGGGGTTGCCTGGGACAAAAGGCCATGTATGAAATTGTAAGAGTCACAGACAACAAGGTGGCACTGGCTGATACATATCCAATCAGCCACAGACTGACTTTGAAGGAGACTTAAAAATGCAAGCACAGCAAGTGAGGGAAACACAAATACACACAATCTCTCTGCCAAAGAAGCTATGAGCTGCATTCCCCTTCCATTGTGTACAGTTCTTATCCTCTCTTCCAGTTCCTTCCCTCTTGATCTCTGGCATGTTGTAATTATGTGAGTGTACGAGCCAGTCAGACTGTAAATTCCACAGAGCAGGTACCACAGCCTCTTATTAGTCTGTGAAGTGCCAGGCACACATATGGCACCGAGGGGAAGGCATCAGGGGAAAAACTTTTATGTGCTTGATTTCATTATAAGCTGAATGCTTGGATCATCCATCAACATTCCCATCCCACTGACAGTTCTACAAAGCACAGATGCCCTGAACATACCAAGGGAAACTATCACACTTGGAAATAACCCATATGCCCATAGGCTCAACACCTCCATTCTCAGGGTATAAACAGCAACAATCACTTAGGTATAAGGCATTTCCTGAAGATTAATGATCACCTAGGGTCCTTCAGCTGGCCCTCAGGCCATCAACTTTTCCTTGCCCACCATTAATCCCCAGAAAAAGTCCTGCACCTCAATCACTATTGCTTTACCTTTTCACCTGCCTGGAAATAGGACCTGCGGGTGCTTTGATAAATGGCTTGAAAGATTGTACAGTGAAACCAGCCATATTGTAAGTGCCTCCGCATTTTCTTTTCTTTCCTGAAATGCTATTTAGCAATGTTCTGCGGCAGTGCTCCTGGGTGGATCAACCCCCACTGTCTCCAGTGGGAATTATTCTTCAGCCCATGCTACCTACCAGTAGACTCATACCACAGTTACAGAGAGGTAGGTGTTCACACAGGGCCCTGGGGTGCTTTACAGCATTACCAGTATATCCCACGTTAACATGCAGACAGAGAGGGAAAAAAAACACCTGTTCTGTTCTGACCAGAATGCAATGAACCCTTTGGGCCTTCCCGTATCCATGGAGTGGTTTGTTTCGGAATCCCCAAAGGACTAGAGTACCCAATTCATCCTACCAGACCCACTGCCTTAGGGGAATTAGCACAGAATCACCACAACTAGAGCTGGTACATGATCTAGTTCATTTCCCCAATCACTACAGGATTCTTCCTGCAGGGCAAGATCTTTGCCCAGTTGTAATATCACAATCAACAACGCTCCTGTCATTTTCCAAGCAAAGCTATTCCCTGGGTTTATACATCCCACTATTAGCCGATCTCTCTTACTAGTCAATCTAAAATTATTTTTTTCTCTTAGTGGCGCTCTCGTACCCCTTAAATTCTTTCCCTTTTCAATGACACTCCAGCATGTATGTTCTTAATCAGGCATATAACCAAACTATACACATTTAGTTGTGGGTTTTTTTATTTAATATTTCCTTATAAGTCAACCCTTCCAGCCCTCAGTCACTGTAGCCACTTTTTCCAGAATCCCCTCCACTGGGTCTACATCCCCACAGGATGTCCACAACAGAACCCAGTACTCCAGGTGCAGTCACAACAGAGCAGCAGAGAGAGGGAGCGTCACTTTCTTGTTCCATGGGACGATGCCCCTGTGTAGGAGGTTCAGAACTGCACTGACGTTCTTAGCTCCCATATCAAAACACGACCGCCTCCCTAATCTACTGTCACTGGCAGGTCTCCTTGGCTTTATAATCTGACCAGAGGCCCAATCCTTTAAACAGGAGCCTATGTAAATGCAGAGGTATAAGTAGTCCCACTGAAGTCAATAGGGTTACTTATGTGAGTCAAGCTGTTCACATGCATAAGCATACACACGACTGGGCCCCATAGTTTTAGATTCTCAGTCTCCTTGCCTGTCTGTACTCTCACTGGGGTTCAAGCCTTCTCCCAGGTTAGTTATGTGCTAATGTCATTAGCATGCTAACATGTACAAAGACAAGAAGACAAAAGGGAGACCAGCCACCAGCGGCAAGTCCATAGCAGATTTTATTTATGATGTGTCAGCCAGAGTTTTTATTCACATGGCAGTGAATCCAAGCCGGTCTGTGTGCCTCACCGGGCACCATTTCTGCAGATGCTAAGCTATTAATATGAACCTCCCTTCTCCCAGTCTCCACATTTATATGCACAACAGTTATGGTCTTGCATATAAATGCGTCCTAGGGAGGTGTTGGCAAAACATCCAGCCTGCAGCGCTCAAAAGACCATTTTTAGAGCAAGTCCAAATGCACTATGCCACAGGGTATCTCCATTGAACAGAAGACAGCGTTTACAGAGCATACAACTGTTTTAAAGATACTACTGGTCCCCTCCCTGCCCCCAATGCAGATCTGGTGCTAATCTGGTGTGAGTTAAGAGGAAAACAGGGAGTTCACCAACCCAACACAATGAGCTCTGTGATTCCAACATACAGCCCCCACCAAAAAACATTGGTTCCCAGTGGCTCTGCCAGTCTCACTGGGCCAAGATGTTCTAGATGGAGTGTGGCTTGCGTTTCAGAGGGGCTGAGCACGTGCAACTTTCAATGAAGTCGGCAAGAGCTATGGATGCCCATCTTGGAAATCAAGGTCCCAGACGCCCAAGCAGGCAGCCTGGTTGTGTGTTGGAAGGCATCTCCTTGCACTCCTGTTGGAACAGGAAATGCCAGCTCAGAACAAGCTTTCTGAACCAGTAGCTGGATTTTTTTTTTAAATCCAGTTTTTCCATAACTGACATAAAACAAACGCAATTTCTGGAGTTCTGATGTAACCACCCCCTTCCCGCCTATCGCAGGCACTGCGAGACAGAGCATCACCGATTCCCCCATGTCTAGGCTGTCAGGTTGACTTCTGAAATGGGCCACCTCAGGATACTCAGCCCTCTCTCCAGCTCGTGCACAGCTCCTCATCCCCTGAATGTTCTCTGCCAGGATTTCTGCAGTTTCTCCTTAATGAGGGTGCTGCTCAGAAGGTTTTTAATGAGGAGTTAATCTGAACCACCTGTTGAGAAATCCCCAGAAGGGTCAGAAGCAGTGACAGCTCAGATTTAAGCTGTATCCAGCGCTTGGGGCTAGAAGGAAGGGGCCACATCCACAACGCCACGCTGTGCTGGAATAAGGTTTTGTGCCTGAATCTTACCAATGCAGCCTCTACCCTGCCTTTAGCAAACAGGTTACCAGACATTCCGGCACTTTTCCTGTCTCCCATGTGACTGCAATGTCATGCTGGGCAGCTAACAGACTCCCCCTCCCAGTAAATAGAAATGCCCCGAGACTTCCTAACACAGCAACTGCTGGCACACCCAGCTCCAAAGCACAGTAAGAAAGCAGTGCAGGGATGGCCCTGAGACTACTGGAATCAATGGGCTGGCACACAGGCAACAATTAATAGCCCTCTGCACCCACGGTACCAAATAGCAGCCATTCGGGCTCCTGGTGTTTCTCTCCTCCCATGTTCAGATTTTTTCTGCCTGTGTATGAATGTGCCCTCTCCCTTCACGGACAGTAAGCTTCTGTGTAGCACGGGAGAATATCCCTGGACTCACTGACAGCATTAGTACATCATCACCTTCTGCATGGACGCCTATAGGTAACACAAGGAATGGCTCTTCCCTGCATTTATTCAACTACAGGCAGTCCCCGAGTTACGCGGATCCGACTTATGTCGGATCCGCAGTTACGAACGGGGCCCTCCCTCTCCCTGGTCTCCAGCAGACCAGGGAGAGGAAGCAAAGCGGCGGAACACGCGGGCAGCGGACAGCCCAGACACGTCTGGGCTGTCAGCTGCCCGCGTGCTCCGCGGCTTTGCTCTGCTTTGCTCCCCGTCCCCCTGGTCTGCAGACCAGGGGGACGGGGAGCAAAGCGGCGGAACACGCGGGTTTCAGCCGCTGTTGAAACTGATCAGTTTCAGCAGCGGCTGAATCTGGACGCCAGTTCCGACTTACATACAGATTCAACTTAAGAACAAACCTACAGTCCCTATCTTGTACGTAACCCGGGGACTGCCTGTACTTCTAATGTGTTTAACTAGGGGAATCATGCAGCACCCCTTCTGCTCTTCCCTTTTAGAACAGGCATTAGTCAGCCGCTGTTGAAACTGATCAGTTTCAGCAGCGGCTGAATCTGGACGCCAGTTCCGACTTACATACAGATTCAACTTAAGAACAAACCTACAGTCCCTATCTTGTACGTAACCCGGGGACTGCCTGTACTTCTAATGTGTTTAACTAGGGGAATCATGCAGCACCCCTTCTGCTCTTCCCTTTTAGAACAGGCATTAGAGGTGGAAGAGACGAAAAACACCCATTCTGTCTTTCTCCCTGACTCACGTGGGAGGTTCCCCTCAGGATGTTTTCCAGTGTTTTGTCCAGTTTAATTTAAAAGATCCAAGTAATGGGTTTTTGCTACCTCCACTAGGAGATTATTCCATGGCCCAATAGATCTGAGTCTGAGTTTTCCTAGAACCAATAACCTAATTTTTCTCTTCCTGTTTCATCTTATTTCTCCTCATTACCCCTTGTGTACCTCAAAGAATTCATCTCCGCCTTTGCTATTTCCTCCTCGTCAGGTATACATAACCTCAAGTTTTTACCTTTGTTAAGCCGTACAATTTCACTTCTGTAATTTCCCTTTGTAAATCAATCCCTCTAGCCTCAGGTCCTATTTAGATTTTCTTCAAACAGCCTCCAATTTGTATTTCCATGGTAGTGAAGTTCCTGCAAGTGAACACACACCTGCGAGTGCAGCTGCCTCCGATTTAGAGAGAAAGGCTGGTACTCCATTGATTCATAATTTGGTGCTTCTTTTGGCTTCTTTTGGGGCCATTGCATATTTGTGTTTAATTGGATGGCTGCTACCAAGCTCTTTCAGCATTAATGCTTTAAGTTTTCCTCTCCATTAAATAGCTATGATTTGGGTTATTTTCTCCCTGAGAAATACTTGCTTGTGACTACTACACTCTCACC